TTACTGGGAAAATTCACCGACCTCATCGCTTTGACGATTTTTTAAGTTTTTTTAAATTTTCAGATCTTTCCTGTTTTAGCAAAGTTTCTATGAAGCGATTCTTTCTACCCAAAAATCACATTATTTTTTAGTTTTACTTGAAATACTGCCAATCTTCAGGTATTTTCTGTGAAAAATTATAAGATACATTTTATTGGGACACTCCCCTCCTTAACCGCTTTGCAAAAACGTTTGGAAAACTTTTTGCAGCTTCGAACTATGGACAAAATCCTAATAATTATTTCTAAGTCTTTTTCCAAAAATATTTCCCCGAACTGAAAAAGCGAAAGTTTACAATCATTTATTTGGAAAACTCTTGGAAACTGGAGTTTCTTCACTTTCGGGTCAATATTTTTAATCAACACTGTCTCTAAACAGAAAATCCGCGTTTTTCTAACGTTTTCCTGTAAAATACTGGCAAACTGAATCTTTTATGCAAAAAAACAAGAGATCGATTTTACAAGAAAACTCGTCGACCTTCTTTGAACTCAGTTCTGTTGCCAGAACTCAAATCTAGATTACTTTTTTTAGTTGTTTGAACAAAGTAGTAAACGTTGCTCAGAAAAAATGTTAATAACCCTTTTTTAAATGTGGAAATTCCAGTTTCGGGCCTCGTAAAGCTTTAACAAATGAATTATAACTCATTAACCGATGAGTTGTAACTCGTTAACTCATAGAGCGGCAACAACTCAATAGCGCAACTCAACACAGTGTTCCCAGGCCTACTATGCGCATTTTAAGCCAGTTCTAAACCCGTTCTAAACCCATTGTCAGAGCAGACAATGCAATGCAAACACGCTCAAAGAATGCACATAAAACCGACTGGACTATTGGGGAGAAGTCCCTTAAAATTTCCCTGGGGTTTTCTCTTTTAGCGTGTTTTCCAACTGGCGCAGCAGGAAACCACAAGCTCGCGGGCGTTTTTGATTTTCGAGGAAAAACCGAACACAATTTTCCACTCTACATTTTTTCGGGTCACACACCATGAGCGGCGAAAGAAACAGCTCGAAATCTTCTAATTGCGTGCGTTTGCTTCAGATTGCAATCGCCACTTCTGGAACACAAACTCTTTTATCGATCATTTAACTATTTTTGGCCCCCATAGCTAAACCTGATTGTTTCAGCCAGTTGGGGTGACATTGACGACAGTTTGACGCAATCGGCCTTTTACATTGAATTTACAATTTTATATTGGGAATTTACAAAGATGAGTTTTGCGGTGAAGTTGCGGCCGTTGCCATCGAAGCGCAAACCCTTGCGGGTTGGTGGAACAGTGAAGAGACGCAAGCCGATTTCCAGCGTCAAGTGCAAGAGGTGCAATAGCACGCCACTTGCCAGCAGGCCCCAGGAGTTCCCTACCATATGGGAGGAGCTACGAGCGAATAATCAGCTTTGCGACGGCGTGGTGAAGTGCGAGGACAACGTCCAGTTCAACATCCATCGCATCATTTTGTCCTCTATCAGCCCATATTTTCGAGCTTTGTTCACCAACTCGATCAACAGAGGGAGGCAGGAGGTGCGGGAGGCCAACGTAAACATATCCAGCTCTGCCTTCAAAGTCATCCTGGACTTTGCCTACACTGGGAGCTGCGTTCTGGATAAATCCAACGTGTTTGAGGTGCTGAAGTACGCCGATCAGTACGAGATAATGGACGTGGTCCAGAACTGCTGCCAGTTCCTACTGAAGGACTTATCCCCCCCTAACTGCCTGCAGGTGCTGAGGTTCGCCCATCAGTTCCACTGCCAATATCTAGCCACCAAGGCCAACATGTTCCTGCTACAGAACTTCAGCGAAGTGCTAAGCCAAAACCCTCAGTTTGGGAGCTTAACGTCCCAACACCTCCAGGAGATCCTCACTAGTGACTATCTGAATGTGAAGTCCGAGGAGGTGGTGGTGCAAGCCATCCAGCTCTGGATCGGTGAGGTGCCAGAGGCCCGCAGGGCCCATTTGCTCCAGTTGCTCAAATGTGTCCGAATGGGCTGCTTGAGTGCGGAGAAATTGATGAAAATCGCCCGCTGGCCTCTGATTGAAGCAGACACCAGCTGCTCCCTCTACATAGCAGACGTGCTCACTATAATGGAAGACCTTGAGGGGGACTGTTTGGACACGTACCTAACTCGCCCTAGGATCCCCTACGATATCCTGTTCGCTATTGGAGGCTGGAGCGCTGGAAGCCCCACGAGTTTTGTGGAAACCTACGATAACCGCGCTGATCGCTGGCTGGTCTCCAAGGACACTGATATAGTAGCGCGCGCCTACCACGGCATGTGTAGCTTCGGGGAAAAGATCTACTTGGTAGGCGGGTTCGATGGGAATGAGTACTTCAATACCGTGCGCTGTTTTGATCCTTCGAACCACACATGGAGCGACTGCGCTTGCATGTACTACTCCCGATGCTACGTCAGCGTGGTGGAGTGTTCGGGGAAAATCTACGCCATGGGTGGCTACAATGGGAGAATTCGCATGAGCTCAGCTGAGCGGTTTGACCCGCTGCGCAACCAATGGGAGCTACTGCCCGCCATGCAAAAGCAACGCTCAGACGCCAGTGCTGCCAGTCTGAACAACAAGGTCTACATAGTGGGCGGGTTCAATGGGCAGGAGGTGATCAATTCGGCTGAAATGTTCGACCCATTGACCAATCAATGGTCCTTCATCCCCCCCATGATCTCCGCTAGGTCAGGGGTCAGCCTGATCGCGCACCACAACGCCCTCTATGCGATTGGCGGCTTCAATGGAACCACTCGCCTTCCATCGACGGAGAAATTCATCCCCGACTCCTCCTCCAGCCCCGCCTGGATGGAGATGTCCGACATGATGACCCCAAGGAGTAATTTCGGCACTGTTATCCTGGATGATTGCATTTACGTGATCGGGGGGTTTAATGGATCCACCACCATTAACTACGTGGAGTATTTTGACATGGAGACCGGCGAGTGGATGGATGCGGCTTCGATGAATCTGAACCGGTCCGCTCTGAGTGCTTGCGTGATCAGCGGCCTCCCCAACTCCAAGGACTACTCGTTTTTGGACCGCAGCCAGAGGCGGCAGAACAAGGAGGCAAAGGATGGGGTTTAAATTTGTTGGGGGGATTTTAATTTTAGTAGCAAGCGTTAGTGTGTATAAACTGGCATATTTGGCTGATTAAAATTTGCATATAGGGTGTCTCAACAGTTAGTCGCAGGAGCCTCAAATCCCCAATTTATGCTGGAATTTTTGGGATTCCACCCTGAACTCTGCAACTGAAATTTGCAACTCAGTTGAAAAGAAAACAGACAAACCGGTTAGTGTGTGTAAACGGGCATATTTGGCTAACTAAAATTTGTATATGGGATGCCTCAAAAGTTAGTCGCAGTACCCTCAAGTCCCCAGTTTTCGTTGGCATTTTTGGGATTCCACCCTGAACACTGCAAGTGAAATTTGCAATAGTTCTGAAAAAAACCGAGACAAACCGGTTAGTGTTTTTAAGAGGGCATATTTGGCTAACTAAAATTTGCATATAGGGTGTCTTAAAAGTTCGTCGCAGATGCCTCAAATCCCCAATTTATGCTGGAATTTTTGGGATTCCACCCTGAACTCTGCAACTGAAATTTGCAACTCACCTGAAAAGACAACAGACAAACCGGTTAGTGTGTGTAAACGGGCATATTTGGCTGACTAAAATGTGTATATAGGATGCCTCAAAAGTTGGTCGCAGTACCCTCAAGTCCCCAGTTTTTGTCGGCATTTTTGGGAATTCAGCCTGAACATTGCAAGTGAAATTTGCAACTCTGCTAATAAAAAAACAGACAAATCGGGTAGTGTGTGTAAACGGGCATATTTGGTTGACTAAAATTTGCATATAGGATGTCTCAAAAGTTAGTCGCAGAAGCC